ATCGACTTGTAAGGTTGTCATGCTTTATTTAGGTCTTAAAAAATTCTAATTGAGATTAACTAACGATCGAGGATCTTTAAAATTTTGGCCCGCATTACATAATTATTTACTAATTTCCAGCTGGAATTAACTTTTTGATGACATGGACAAAGGTCAAGCTGTAATATAACAAATATTATTTGTTTGCGTATCTTCATAATAAAAACACTCAAAGAATGATTATTGTATTATGTTAAATTCGAAAAAGAAATGTCAAGGCTGTTTATAAAATTGTCGAAAATTTGACCGATACATAAATTATTCAAAAATATATTCTAAACATCTTTGTTGAATTCGATTAATGTATGCTTCGAATCTTATACGTATTTAACGAGTACCTTTTTTTTTTACGTTTAGTCTACCCAAGTATATTTGCTTAATATCCAGAGTCAGTCGTTAAATCCAACTTATTTTATAGTAATAATTGCTTAGCAAAAGATCTTAAAAAGACTATAAAAATAACTTTATTTTATTCAATTTTGCAAAAATTACGCGTTTTTATCACAAAAACGTTTTGATCGAACTAAAGGTGGAAATATTTGTCCGTTATTATTTTCTTCTCCTTCAATTATTTCACTTATTTTTGGCTCAGAAGCACTGTTATTATTTTCAGCAGACTGATTAAGATATTTAATAAATATTGATTTATAACATCATTTTTTATTAATGAAAATGCATAAAGCAATTGAGCCGAAGCAATTCCTTTATCAGCTGCTTGCAACAATTGTTCAATATACTCGACATTATCTTAAATAGAGATGTGATCTAAAACTTACATAGTGCAGGTGCATAGTAAAAATCATTAACCAAATTATTTAAAAATTAAAGTGCGAAAAATTTTTCGAGTTCTTTTTATATTCACATTGTTTTTATTAGGTTTATCTCAAATGCATCTCTTTTTAATTAAAAATATTTCATTTAATGTAAATGAACCTTAATAGAATTCGGGCAAACCACGTATTGGGCAGATCCTGTGCTTCAGCCCGTCAAATATAAAGTTCACAAATTTTACTTTCATCTTTGTCAGTACCGATACCGTAATAATAAAACTTCATTGATTTCTGGCCTTTTTTCTGAAATTTGATTTACTATCATCATAAACTTGTGAATAGTATTCGAAGGCTTTCTTTTTATTTTTCTCAGCGCCAAAACCATATTCGAGATGCTTTGTTAACCAAAATTTTGCACCATTTGATAAATTTGAGTTAGGATATCGGTAATACAGGAAAAAGAACAATATGAACAATATTGTACAGACATGGTTGAACTTTAAATTTAAATAAACTTGACTTATAAGTATTTGCTTGAATCTTAAAGAAAGCTTTATTTATAATATATAAATTAATGATATCGTCGATATTTTATTAGACTAAAAAAAATTTTTATAGCACTAAGTTTAGAAGTATCACTAATATTTTTAATGACTAAATCTATGAAAGCTTTAGTATCAAAGTCATCCTTTGAATAGATTCTTGTTACAATATATTTGAATAGATTAAGTTTTTCTGTAATTTCTTTATATAAATATTGTGAATGGAATTTAAAATTCTTAATTATTGCTTCTTGATCTTCCTTATATTTTTCAAAATTAAGATTAACTTTGTCTGTCTCTAATCTATTTAGATTATTTTCTATTTCATATTTACTACAAATTTCAGAATTTTGGATTTTTTCTTTTGAAATTGCGAATTCTAGATCTCCGGGATATAAGTATTCATGTGTAGAGCGAATCTCATCATAAATCTCGTCGAAAATTTTTATTTCTAGATGGTTAGGGCAACAGATAATAGGAGATTTTTCATAAATACATCAATCGATTATGTATCTTCTGAAGCAATTGAAATGGAATGTGTCTCCACAAATAATTTGAATAGAGCTTTTTTTGAACAGCTTTTGATCACATAAATCACATTTTTTATTATTTAAGCTTCTATTTTTATGTTCTTTGTACAGATCAATGTAAACGTTTATATCTTTTTTTCCTTTTTTATCTGTAAAAGGTATCTCGTATTTTTTGTCGCTTAACTTGTAGTTAATAATATTAACTCTATTCTTTTTAAGTTGTGTATTATAAGAACGGGTACGTGGCATTTTTTTAATAGTGTAAAATTTTTAGCTATTGTTATATATAGCGTAAAAGGTGCGGAAGAAGGTGTTTAAATAATATTTGACGAAACAGATCAATTTAAGGCTCATGGTCAGACATTCGCTTCATTGGCTAATATAAATCAATTGCCCGGGTAACTAGTTAAGTTATCCAAAAACTAATAGTCAATATAAATTGTACTCTAAAACTATGCTATCTTTGCCGCGGCTATTCGTATTACCTATTTTACAAAACATTAAAAAGAAACTCCGAGTTGTGTATGATGTACAGTATAATATATAATGCTGATCTGTTACAATTTATACGTGTTAAAACATATCAGATATAATTCTTTCCAATTTTTTGCACGCTATTGAAAAAGGCTTTGTTTGATAATTGATTCAAATAAGGATAACTAATCATATTTGAACTAAATTATAAAATTTATATTGTCTTCACCGCGGTTATTCATATTACCTTATTTTTACAAAGCATCAAATGAAACTCCGAGTTATGTATGATACTGCATTTTATAATAGTGTTGATCGGTACGCGTGTTAAAACATACTGATATAAACCAAGTTTATTCGTTTGCTATTTTAAAAAACTTTGTTTTATTGTAAATGAATTTATTCAAATAAGGAGAAGATAATTAATTCTTATTTGATTTAATTTATGCTATCTTAATATAAATGCTGATCTGTTACTCAATTGTACGTTCCATTTTAAAATATATAAGGCATATGATGTAATTTTTTGTCTTTAAAAAATATTGAAAATAACTATTTCTAAGAAATTAGATTATTTAATATCTTTTTTGTCATATATTAAATATGCAAGAAAAACTCTCGTGAATTTGTATACTTGCCGAAACATTCTTATTTTTTTATTAATTCTTGAGGTTATAATAATCTGGTCATATGTATATTTTTGGCTTTCTCCTGAATGGTACAGTACATAGAAGTTCAAACTAATTTTTGTCGATTTTATAGGATCTATAAGTCAAAACATTCATATTTGTACATTGAACTTTACGAACCAATTGTGCATGGAACTTTTGATATCGATCAAAATAAATTTTGGTATATAATAGATCAACTAAGCGATTTTTTTGCTGAAATAAAGGCTAGAAGTCGTGGGTTCAGACATCCAGATTATAATGAGTTTGTGTCATATTAAATTTTCAATTTATCCAACTTGGATTGGTTTTTTTGCGAATAGAATTTATAGTAGTGAACATCTGTATTGATATTTTTGTAAAATAGGCTTTTTTTAATTTATTAAACTAATATTAATATAAAGTTAAATTTGTATTTATTATTGTTATGTAACATTGTTTTTAAAATCCTGGCCAATATTTGATAATCTTGGTCACCTGATCTGAGTATCCAATGAAGTAAGATTCAATAAAGTAAAGATCTTCAAAAATCTTTCCGAAATTATATAATGGTATTCGCCTTCATGCAGGTTTAGGTATCACATATATATAGAGAATTTATGTACGTTCAACTTTTGAATATAAGAACTCTCTCCCATTAATCCTTCATAATGAGTGATATCGAATCTGAGTCATCTAATGACTACAATAAACGGTTTCGATTACCAGCAGTAATAAAATCTGCTGTTCCTCTGAAAAAAAAAAAACCGCTAATACAAATGTTTATATTAGTTGAATTGATAATAAAGAATTATTTCCTTCAACCGTTTCACCAGTAACAACAAAGTCAAAAATATATAATTTAGTTGAATGGAAAACTTTAAATCAATCACTGCTAAATGCAAAAAGACAAAATAAAATTAACCAAAACTGGGCAGAAGTTTATAGTAAATTCTTTTAATTCAAATTGATATATGATTCTGTCTAAAAAAAATCTTTTGATTTTCAAATGCAAAAAGATAATAAAATAAATAGTATGATCAAACAATCTATTTCTGATGGATGTAGCACAGAAATATCACATTGGAGGAAGGCTTACAATTTGGTCATGCTTGTAATAGAAAAAAGTAATGATATTTGTCTTGAAGATTTTCTTGAAGAAATAAGAGATTTAAATATTACATTTAATTATCTTCAAGAAGTTGAGCCAGCAGAATTTATGACTTTGCTTAATAAAATAGTAGAAAATTACAAGCTAAAAATAGAAATTCAATAAAGTAAGTATCTTTAATTTTACATAATTTTAGTACAAATTATTTTCAGCAAAATTCAAATTAAATTTAATTCATTAATTATTTAATTCTTTTCTAGTTCATTTAATAAGACTAATTTTTATGTATAATTATGTTAAATGAATAATTATGTTAAATTTTAAATTAATTCGTTTAAAACTTTATTAAGATTTAAATTTAATTGAAAATTTATTAAGATTTAAAATGTGTTATAATATTGAAAACAAAAAAAAAGTTTATGTTAAATTAATTAATAAATCTATTGGATATATGAAAACGGATATTTATTTCACATCCCCCCCTAAAGTTTATTAACTCAATTAATTATAGCTTTCGAGATACAGTTCTGTACGTGTAATTTTTTTGAAGCACTCTAAAGTTTCACAATTGACGCAAACAAGATATAGATCTTTGCTAGCAAAATGACCTTACGAGCCATTGTTACACAAGATTTTTATTAAGAAAACATAATAAATATATTTTTAGAAAAAATTCTAGAAAAATCTCATATCACTTGATTTTGTCAAATTACAATTAGGAAAAGAACTCTGTTAACAGTGGATTGCTATGGGCACGTGCTTATAGTGGGAACAACAATAATCCTAACTCAGGCTTGAAATCAGCAATTGATTTTCTCAGAAAAAATAAAATTTTATTGTATTACTCTTTTGTCAACTGACTTAACGCTCCTAAAGTTTCACAAATAGTAAATAATTTAAATCACAATAGTAAATAGCAGAACTTGATTAATGCCCCTAAAGTTTTACAAGAGAACTTGATTGCGATAATTTATTAAAGTTACTGTCAGAGGCAAGATAACTTATTTCTCAACTGACTTAATGCCCCTAAAGTTTCACAATTATAAATAGCAGAACTTGATTATTGTAATAAGAAACGAGATTTATCAGGTAAAAAAAGCAAGATAACTCTTTGTCAGCTGACTTAATACCCCTAAAGTTTCACAATTGTGAATAGCAGAACTTTATTTATCATAATAAGTAGTTAAGCTATCCAAAAACTAATAGTTAATATAAATTGTACTCTAAAACTATAGTTTTAGAGTACAATTTATATTAACTATAAGTTTTGGATAACTTAACTAGTAATAAGAAACAAGATATCTCTGGAAAAAAAAAAAAGCAAGATAACTCTCTTTGTCAGCTAACTTAGTGCCCCTAAAGTTTCACAATAGTAAATAATTTAAAGCAAGATATTCACAATAGTAAACAGCAGAACTTATTGGTTCATATTACTGCAGTTGAAGCAAGATAATTGTAGAACTTGATTACGATAACTTATTAAAGTTACTGAGTTACTGTCGGAAGCAAGATAACTCATTTGTCAACTGATTTAACACCCCTAAAGTTTCACAAAGCAAGATAACTCTCTTTGTTAACTAACTTAACGTCCCTAAAGTTTCACAATTGTAAATAGCAGACTTGATTATTGTAATAAGAAACAAGATATCTCAGGAAAAAAAAAAAGCAAGATAGCTCTCTTTGTCAACTACTTAACGCCCCTAAAGTTTCACAATTGTAAATAGCAGAAACAAGATATCTCAGGAAAAAAAAGCAAGATAACTCTCTTTGTTAACTGACTTAATGTTTCTAAAGTTTCACAATAGTAAATAGCAGAACTTGATTATCAAAGATTACTGTAATAAAAAATAAGATATTTCAGGAAA